CTCTCTCTCTCTCTCTCTCTCTCTCTCTCTCTCTCTCACACACACACACACACACACACACATGTATATATTTTATGTATATGTGTATATCTGTGTGAATGTATGGCACGTATGTGCAGGTGCTCACAGAGGCCAAAGAGGGTGTCAGATCCCTGGAACTGGAGGTACAGACGTTATTTTTGTGCTGGTGCTGGGAATGGAACCCATATCCTCTGCAAGAGCAGCCAGTGCTCTTAACTGCCAAACCATCTCACCAGCTCCCATAGCTTGAAAATTTAAAAGCAAATGCAAAGTACTTGTTTTTAGATGTGAAGTGCCGCAGTTGAAAAGTTGTTCTGTGTGTGCCTTACTTTGGGGTAGCCTAGAGTAAAGACAGAGTGACAGAATAAGCTGTTGCCCAGGAATGACTAGCGCACTGGGGCTAGGAAATGCTATTAAATGACAGGCCAAGGGCTTGCACTCTCCTTTGTGGCAACAGATCTTACCTGGCTATTGCTCTAGTTTCTGCTACCTACTGCTACATAACAAACCATGCCCAAACTTAGTGGTTTGAAATATAGTCATTTATTTATGCCTGATCCCACAACCTGGGCACAACCCAGAAGGGACGGCTTATGTCTCCTCCATGTGCAACAAACCGGAGTCATGACTATGTTCAGCTGGAGATCCAAGATGGTCTCCCATTCTCCAAACTCTCTCTACATAACCTTTAATTCAATGGCTTGAAATTAGGACAAGGTGACAAAATCTGGACAGGGAGGACAGGCCCAGTGTATAAGTACATGTAAAGCTTTGGCTTACATCATGCTTGCTAATGTCCTACTGGCTAAAGCAGGTCATGTGGCCAAGCCTGGAGTGAAGATGGAGGTGGTGCAAAGGCATGGACACAGGGTGGGGGCGAAGTTCACTTTGGGTCACTAACAGTTAGTATACTGTCTATACTGTAGAAGATGATGATGGATAGCTGCATCCACCAATCAGATGCTTGCTTTTTGTCAGCTCCATGCCAAGCATGCCCCTTCATGGCCTAGTTCCTCTGAGATGACAAAGCTTATAGATTCTAGATAATAGTTAGAGGTTAGGCAGTATTAGTTACTTTCCTGTTGCTGTGATGAAACACTATAACCAAGGGAGTTTATAGAAGGAAGAGGTTATTTGAGCTATGGTTCCAGAGGGATCAGAGTTTGTCATGGCAGGGAGGGATGGTGGCAAGAGGTGGCCAGAGCAGAAAGGAAGAGTGCTCACATCTTCAAGCAGGTACACAAAACAGAAAGCGACTGAAAATGTGGCAAGGCTTAAGAACTCTCTAAGCCTGACCCCAGTGACATGCTTCTCCTTCTGAGAGCATGGCCACACCTTCTAAGACCTCCCAAAACAGCACCGCCAACTGAGGACAAAATGTCCAAATACTTGGAGCCTATGGGGGAACATCCTCATTCAAACCACAACAGGCAGTATGCTCTGGGTCTCCTGGTAACTGAGCAGAGGGTCTGGGATTCATACCCACATCTGACCATGCCATTACCTCAGGGAAATACTGCCAAATGTACCAAGTTTTGTGGTGGGTAGGGAGGGGGGCCAGAATCTGATCGACCAGCTGCCCTTTTACCCTGGAGTCACACCCTGTTAACAGCACTATTTTTATTATGGCACAGCTATCATCTCTTAGAATCTACAGAAAGACAGTTGTAGGTTAAACCTGGTTATAACTAAAAATTTAAGGCCCTGTAATTACTGTTATGTTTAAGCAAGCAAAAGCTTCTTTGTGGAAAGGCTGTTGACCTTCGCCTAGGTTATCTGGTCCACAGGTTATATTATAAACAGGCAATTTTTCCTTCTCATTATTCATTCACTGGAGACAGAAAGATGAAAAAGAACCAGAGCCTATCTGTAGGGGCTGGTAATAGAGGAAAGTGTAAGAATAGCATGAGATAGATGCTAGTCTGAGCCTTCTTCAGAGACTGGAAAGATGTGGCATTGTTTCCCTCCCCCTGACAAGAGAGCAGAGGATGTTGCTGGAACCAGAGACTCCTACCAGTTGTGCAGCCCAGGGAGATGAAGGTCAGAGTCATGAGCTGAGAGAGGGGACAGTACCAGGGGAGCCAAGATTTGGTTTAAGGATGCCAAGGAGAGGGGTGATGGGAGCCAGTGGTTGTGACTTTCCAGTCATGGAAATACCTATGACTGAGTGTTACTTCTTGCTAATAGGTACTTCAGAATGTTGTGAGGTTATTGTGGAGACTGTCATAGACAACACAGATGATATGTGGAGGCTCATGCGTAGCAAGTGGGGGCCCAGAAACCCAGTGACTGCTTTTAGTAGGGGAATCTGGAGAATTTTGATGTCATTTGTCTCGAGCATGGGAGACTGAGGCCGTTTGAGCCTTGTGAACAGTGGTTGTCTGGGGTAGCAGGGGAGGAAGAATATTCTGGCAGGTAAACTGGGTTATGATCAGGACACTGAATAGAAAGGGGCAGGATCATGTGATCCTATCCCTTGGGTTAGAGAGATATCTTGGCAGATTTTAAAATATGCCTCCAGGCGGCTGGAGAGATGGCTCAGCAGTTAAGAACACTGGCTGCTCTTGCAGAAGACCCAGGTTTGAATCCTAGCACCCACATAGTGGCTAACAACTGTCTATAACTCCAGTTCCAGAGCATCTGACACCCTCTTCTGTCTTCTTCAGGCATTGCATGACACAGGTGCACATACATGCAGACAATATACACATGCACATAAAATAAAAATAATAAGTAAAATAATAAGATAAAATATGCCTCCAATAGCCAGGTGGGGTAGCACACACCTGTAAGCCCAGTATTTAGGAAGTGGAAACAGGAGGATCACTACAAGTGTAGAGTCAGCCTGGTCTACATAGCAAGAGACTCTGTCTTAAAACACAAACTTAAAATTTTAAGTTCATTTCCTCAGTCTGGCTACATACATTTTGTACTAGCTACGCTTGAATAACATTCAACAGAACATTTCCATAAAGTTTTGTAAGATAGTGTTTTTTTTAATGATATAAGTAATAAATTCCCAACTGAAAAGCCTTTAGCACCTAAATTCACAGAGTTCCTACTATGAGCACAAGTTTTACTTTGTAATTTGTGCTGTGCATTTTTGTTTTGGGGGGAGCTCTGGAAATTGAACCCAGAGCCTTGTACATGCTAACAAGGGCCCTACCACTGAGCACAGTCGTTGCCCTGCAATTTGTTTGGTGTTAGTGTTTCATCTCTTCTCAGAAGGTGCATCTGCATGTGTCATACATACACGTTTCCTGTAATTCTTGATGATAACAACAACAGAAACTGCAGCACCGAAACCAGTTTGTAGATGTAGAGCACAGCTGAGATTCCAAGCATCCCTGCTTCCCTGTCTGTCAAATCAAAGCACTAATACCAAATAGGATTTTCAAAGGGATTAAATGGCAATCATGCTTTTGAAGCACTCCATGTGCAGTAAGCCCTGAGTAAATGGTAGCTATTAAGCCCAAAGTGGTCATCAAAAAGTGAACCATTTCATGTAATGCTAAAAGAAAAACTGAACTTTAATGAAACAGCTTAAGATGGCTACATTTTGAAGGCTCTTGTCTTTGCAATTTATGTATTATTTCTATTACTAAAAATAAGTAAGTGCTAGAGTTCTGCATTGCATTTTCTCCTGAGAGAATCCATAGTCCAGCTGATGTCGTTTCTACCCTTTAGGCAGCATGAGTAACCGATCAAGTACACGGAGCCTCCTCAGCGTGAGCAGTGGAATGGAGGGTGACAATGAGGTAAGAGCCGGTACCCTCACCCTAGCTGTCTGGTCTCAGGGGTCATTTCATCACAAGAGAAAGGAATCCAGCGGAGGGAAGGCACATACAAAAGGTCATGTGTATGGGATGTCTTTTGTATGAAATCTCTAGAATGGGCAAATCCAGAGAGACAGAATGGAAATGGAAATTGGGGGGTGGCAGGGTTAGAGGGAGGAGGGGACAGGTAGAAGCTGCTTAATGGGTCTGGGTTTTATTTGAGGGAAATGTTTTGAGACTAGAAGGAGTGGTGATTTTCTAACATTGAGAATGTGCCAGTGCCATCTGGCTTTGCAATACTTGATCTTACAATATATGTGACTTTCCCTCAGTATAAAGGAAGGAAAGGAGATGGGAAGGAAGGGACATAGACAGAGATAGACAGAATTCTACTCAGACTACTTAATCCAGAAGCAGGTATCTGAAATAAGGAGCTGTGAGAGTCAGGGATTCCAGGGACAGGATCATGCTGGGGTCTAGATCAGGAGCTATCTGCCGTACCAGAGGGAGCATGGGATTGTCCTGTGTGTCCCAAGGTCCCGGGCTCATTGGTTTCTGCTGCTCCTGGACACATCTGCTTTCTTCCCTCCTGGTATACTGGTCTTTCCTGCTTCTCCCTGTGGGTAGTGGCACAGTTTTCCAGACAGTCAGAAGGCCTCTGAGCTGAGAGGCTCTGCTGCTGGACTGAGCACAAGGGGCCACAGGGGTCACCACTAACCCTGGAGAGCCCCGAGAGTGTTCCTAGTAAGCTCACAAGCGATGCTGGTGTTGGCCAACAACCGATCACATTTGGAGCAGCAAGAATTCTGAATCCAGGCAATTTTTGATAATCTGGGCCAGCTTGTCTTCCCTGGTGACCTCAGGAGGACACAGAAAGCTGTCAGTGGCACTGGGTTGACTCTTGCTTTGGAAACAGCCTGCAGCCAAGGTCTAACAAGGCTTTCCCATGTTCTCCAGCTGCACAGGTTAATGTGCTCTGTGTAATATTCACCTTTCTCATCTTGCATGCTGTAGGATAATGAAGTCCCCGAAGTTACCAGAAGTCGCAGTCCAGGTCCCACCCAAGTGGATGGAACACCAGCCATGATCCTAGAGAGGCCACCCAGGGTACCTCCCCGAGCTGCCTCACAGAGGTAACATTGAGGTGGATGTGGAATTTTTTCCTTACTCTCTTAATTGGAGAGGAGAGGAATATTTGGGAATGACTGAAAAACCAACTTTGCCATACGTCATTGTGGCTTTGTCAGTGATGCTTCTTCAATGGCTTCATCACTTTCTGAAGTGATGCTTTATTCAGTTGCAAATATTAATACTTCATAGCTTTTTGTTTGCCGATTTTTGCTTGTAATATTTTGAGACAGGGTCTTACTATGTAGCCCAGTCTGGCTTCCAACTCTCAATCCTCTTGCCTCGGCCTCTTCAGAGTTGAGATTAAAGATGTAAACTGCTATGCCCAGCTCAGTTGTACATATTTTAAATAGCATTTGCATTCATAAGTGAAAGACATATATATATATATATATACACACACACCTGTCAACTTTCAAAAGTCAAGAATTTTTTATTTGTGTATATGTAAATATATATATATGTGTACAGTATATGTTTATGTATGTGTGTATATGTTTGTGTATGTGCAGATGCATGTGCATGCATGTACATGTGGAGGCCTAAGGCTGATGTCAGGTGTCTTCCTCTATTACTCTCTCACTGAACCTAAAGCTCACCAATTGGCTAGACTGGTTGCCCAGCAAGCCCCCAGGATCCTCCTGTCTCTGCCTCCCAAGTGCTGGGATTATAGAAGTGTGCCTCCGCACCCAGCTTTTTACATGGTGCTGGCATCTGAATTCAGGTCCTCAAGTTTGCATAGTAAGCACTTTACCAACTGAGCCATCTCCCCAGACCCCTTCAAATAAATTTTATGTGTCTGGCTAGAATTCAGCCCACTGGTATTGAATTATCTTGGCTGTATTGTGGAAACTGGGTTTTTCAGGAAGAGGAGAGAAGAGTTAAAAGTGCAAACGAAAAGAAGCAGCCTGGTCTGCTGGGCTGAGCAGGCTCTGGGCCCTGCTTGTGGATGTGAACTTGGATGAAGTTAGTCAACTTTTGTGTGCCTCAATTTTTTTTTCTCTGAAATGGAATTACTAATAGAACTTCCTCACAGGGTCCCAAGGATTGAGTTCTCAGCCTATGGCAAGAGCTGAAGAACACGAATGATACATATGCATAGGACAGGGGTAAACATCTGGGGCTTGAAGGTAAGCCCCAGACTGAAGAGCGTCACTCACCTTCTGGGCTCTTGTCTGTGCTCAGTTGGTACGGGGTCTCTGGAGGAACCTTTCTGTTGTCTGTGGAATAACAGGAAAAAAATGGTTCAAGCCAGCTAGTGGGGCTGTGACTGAAGAAAGGAGATCCTGGAGAAGAAGCCCAGGTTCCTCCTAGGGGTTCATCCTTCCATACTTAGACTATAATGGATGAAAAAGAAGAAGCTTGTCTAACATTTTTACACGTAATTATAGCCCATTAGTTAAGGAAGTACAACAACAAGGTCTTCCTTTTAGTTTTCTATTTCATTCTGTTTCTGTCCACTTTGAACTTTGCTATTTACTGCTTCCCAGCTGCTTCTAGAAACACTCCTATATGTATATCTGCTGCATGAACATCTGACAGCCCCAAGTTGCCCTGGACTTATAGGCATGCTTCCCTGGTACAGCTAGCTGGGGGGATACACATCAGGATATTACCATTCCCAGAAGGAGTGCTTGTGGTAATCTAGTCCTGTACCCTGAGTTTGTATCATTGCTTGGTGAAAAGTTGCTGTATAGTTGATGACTGGGGGTAGGAAAGCTTTGCAGGATTGATTATGGTAATAATGCCATTATTTAATGACACCTTATTTATGTGGCAGCTTTTACATCAAATACACTAAGAACATTACTTGCTTAATTCTCTCCCTAAGCCTGTTTAGTATTCTCACATCTTGCAGGTGTAGAGACTGAGGCTTGAAGTTGGCTATTGACTTGCTCTTTTTGAGATCTGGACATGCTTGATTCTAGAACACAGTCTTTTAGTCATTGTGTTTCCTCTGTCCAGAAAAGTCTGAGTGTCAGAGGAGAGGAAGATCCAAGATCCAAGATCTTTTATTCCTGAAGGTTGAGGACTTTGGAGCCAGTTGTCTAATTGCACCAAAGAGTTGACAAGCTTGAACTCTCCCTTTTTGTCCCTCTCCTCTCTCTCTCTCTGTCTCTCTCTCTCTCTCCCCCTTCCCTCCCTTCCTTTCCCTCTCTCTCTCTGTCCTAGTTTGTTTCTCCATTGCTGTGACAAAACACTCTGACCACTAACAACTTGGGGAAGGAAAGGGTTAATTGAGCTTACATCTCCCAGGTCACAGTTCATCAGGGAGCCCAAGGTAGGAACTCAGGGCAGGAACCTGGAAGCAGGAGCTGTAGCACAAGCCATGGAGGAATGCTGCTTACTGGCTTGCTCCCCTGGCCCCTGCTCAGCCTGTTTTCTTATGCAACACAGGCCCAGCAGGAACTGGAGCACAGGCCATGGAGGTACGCTGCTTACTGACTTGCTCCCCTGGCCCTTACTCAGCCTGCTTTTTTATGCAACACAGGCCCACTTGCCCAGGGTGGCACCACCCACCGTGGGCTGGGCCCTCCCTCATCACTCATCAAGAAGATGCCCCTCAGACATGGTCACGGGCCAGTCCAATAGAGGCAATTCCCCAATTGAGGTTCCCTCAACCCAGGTGTGTCAAATTGACACTAAAGCTATCCAGCACACACTCCTTCTTCTTCTCTTCCTTCCCTTCCTCCCTCTTTCTTTTTTCTTATTAATGAAAGAGAAGATGATTCAGGGAAGCAAGTTCTAGAAATCAAAAGGTAGAAGGAAAGTTGGGATACATTTAATCACATAAGAAGAGATGGGAAATAAATTATCTGGGGAGCTAGGAAGCATGATGTGATAAAGATGGGAAGAGCAAAAAAGCAAAACACATTTTGCTAAAGAAGCAGTGTTTGAGGAGACCTGTAATTGACAGAACTTGAGGCTTAAGTACATTTTGGGGTGTGAAAGTGATCTGTAAGTACGTATGTGTGTGACAAGTGCATGTACAGTTTTCAGGATAAAACAAGGCAGTATTTGAGCAGGGAATAAAGTGAGTCCTTCTCCTAACAGACAGGAGGAAAGCTGGCCACGTGTCCCCAGCTCTTCTCTGGGGACCTCTAATTCCTCACTGCCAATGCTATCCCCAACTCCCACCTCTCTTTCAAGCAGCCGTTATAACCCCAGTCTCACATGACCCTAGCTTTAGCCCATTTCTCTGCTGGTTCCTTATGCTGTTTGCAGAGCCTGAGTTGCTGCAGCAGACAGCCTTGTACCACCACATCTATCTTTACCTTCTACTCCCCATTGTTGTCCAGAACTCACATGTCCCACAGGTATCTTAGACATAGACAGTAGAGAACCAAGCCACCTCGTTGTGAGTTCCCGAGCCTGGATTGGTGACACCATTCTGTCCCTTCCCTGAGCCCCAAATCTGGAGTCTGCCTGGATTCCTGCCCTCCTTGAGGCTTCCACATCCACTGCCTCTCTGGGTGGTGTCCATTCTGCTGCCCTTTTAACAGTCTGATCCACCCTGTCCTTCCCATCTGCCAGGGTCTGAATTGTATCAGAATTCTGTGTATGGCCCTGTGTATGGCCCTGTCCAGCCTCACGTCCCATCACTCTCCTGAGCTCACCTTAGATGTCCTATCAGTAGCAAGCATTTTATTGCTTCCCCCTTTCTATTCCCTTCCATTTTTCTGGTTTAAAATTTTGCATATCCTTTTGAGCTCAGTCCAAACATTACGTCCTCTGGAAAACCTTTCCTGATCCATATAGAATGACTCTTCTATTTCTTATATATCCCATGTTGCAAACATTGTTTACACTTCTGTCTCCTCAAGTGGATAGTGATCTCTGTGAGAATAGAAACTCTGTGTGTGTGTGTGTGTAAATGCATATGTGTGCGTGTGCAGGTGGAGATCAGAGGACAATCTTGATACTGTTCCTCAGTTGTGTCTTGTTTTGTATTTGTTTGGGTTTTGTATGTTTGTTTTCGAGTCAAGGTCTTTCATTGCCCTGGAGTGTGCAGAGTGCTCAAGGCTGACTAGCTAGCCTGCCTCTGCCTCTGCCTCGCTAGTGCTGGGGTTACAAGTGAGCACCCCATGTCCAAGTTTTTTACATTGGTTTTTGGGATTGAACTCAGATTCATCTGCTTTCATAGCAAGCACTTTACCAACTAAGCTATCTCCCCAGCCCTAGGAATTACTTTTGATTAAATTTTTTTTTTCTGCTCACCCCAATGCCTGGCACAGTAACTGGCACACATAGAGAACTTAGTAAAGATTTGTTGTGGAAACAGACTGGTACTGCTTGGATTGGACTTCTAATCTCCAACATGATTAGCCATCAAGCCAGGTGTGGTGGCACAGGCCTGTAAATCCCAGCACTCTAGAGGCTGAGATAGGAGGATTGCCAGGATTTTGAGGCCAACCTGGGCTATTATATAGCAAGACCCTGTCTCAAGCAAAACAAAACAAAGCAGCCATCAAGTCACCTCCCACAATCACAGTGCAGGTGGTTTATAGATAAAAGAAACCTACTCTCAGCTACTGTGAGTTCTTTTTACGTATAGCTGAAGAAACGACATAAGAGAGGAAGATGGTGATGAGGACAGGAGTGGGTACTGTAGCTTTGCAGAGTTTCCCATGCTCCCTCTGGGCTGGGAAGCTGATGGTGTCATAGGTAATGTCCTGTTACATTCAAGGGAAGAGTAGAAGCCTAATTTTTGCAGAGTCAGTGCCCCTTTGTTTGGAACTTATTTTGCCATTCATTTGTGATTTGCCATCACTGGCAATCTGGGCATTCTTATGTAAGATAAAAGCCTGTGTACTCTGTAGCCAGGCCTGCCTCTCCTTCAGCTTCTGACTTAAAAAAAGACTGTGGCATCTCTAAGGAGGGCTAGAGAGATCAGGGAAGGCATGAGCTTCAGATAGAGCTGTTTATCAGCTTCTAGGGAAGTTAAAAGTTATGTTAGATGGTGCGTGCAACCACACAAAGACACATCAGCTAAAAGCCCTGATTTAAAAGAACACTAACCTTGCCTGGCGTGATGGCACACATCTTTAATCCCAATACTCAGGAAGCAGAGGCAGGCAGATCTCTGTGAGATCAAGGTTAGCCTGGTCTACATAGTAAGTTCCAGGTTAGCTATGGCTACATAGGGAAACTCCGTCTCAAAAAAGCAAAACAAAAGAATACTAACCCCATCAGGATTGTTGGGTTCATGAATCAAACTCATCACTAGTGAAAACTCACTCTGAATGGGCGAAGAATAAGCTGTTGACCTCTTGGTGTCCCAGAGGTGCAGTCTCTTCACAAACTCCCTCCAGTTTTGATATAACACCCTTTTATCTCCCTGATTCTATTGTACTTACAACAAACCCATTTCCCTGAGATGGGACCTCCAGCCTTTTGCTGGAACTGTCCGTCAGAATCAGACAAAGCTGGCATCCCAATGCAGAGTATGACAGCAGGATGAGAGAGGGGACTGGAGGGGATGGTGACTGTCTCATAGAGGAAGACAGAATGTAAGGTTCATGGGGAAAAGCTCTCAGACTGGACTTTTCATCCTCATGATGAAAATTGCTAGCTTGACTTTCTGAGTGTCTATGCCAGAGATTGTGCTGCCGCCTACTTTTGTCATCTCTAAGCTCTCACCTACTTACCTCCTTTGGGCAGATGGGAAAACAGGTTCATGGAAGCTGAATTTGCACACAAATGTTCCCAGAGGTTCTGAGTTCCTGTTGGAACAGTACAGTCTCCTGGTCTTGTGCATACATATACAGTATCTTGAGGGCCAGGACCTTGCCCATTTTGCCTGCTGTTATATGCCACACGCAGGAGTATGAATTGTAGGTAAATATTTGTAGAAAGGAAGGGGGGAAAGAAAGGTATATGCCTAAACTTGCTTAAGTGGTTTCATCTGTCTTTCCGTGTTCTCCTGTAAGCCCATGGTTTGCAGGGCAGGAGACTGGAAGAGAGACAGAAGGAGACAATTCTTTTGTTTTCACTGGATAAAGCATATTCATTCAGTGACAAACACACAAAACCCTCCACTCCTGGGGACCATAGCAGGACTTCCTGTGGACACCTGTGGTTATTCTTTGCAACTTCTGTCTCCCTCTCTTGTTCCCAGACAGCCCCAACTCTTGTCATTTCCTTGACCTATGCAAAAGCAGCATTCAGGAGACATTTAGCAAATATTTACTCATGGATTCATTCATCCCTAGAGTATGCAGCTCCAGGGGTTACACAGTTCAATTACAGCACCCAACAAAGCTCTCTTTCTAGGTGTATTGATTTGCTTCCTGGAGACTAAATATTGGTTTTACAGCACACATGTGGAAATGCCTTCTGTAATCATTGAACCTGTCTGCGAATAGATTCACTCTAGCCTACCTGGGGTGTCACTTAGGGCTTTACAGAAACCACACAGAAAAACATAGAGAAGGGCTTTGAAGAAAGCAGTCAGAGTTGGGATGACACTCAGTAGTCCCACGAGGAAGTGAAAGTATGCCTTTGAAATTCTCTATCCCTCTTTCAGTGAACCTTACTACCATGGTGGGATCTACCCAAGGCGCCTGTTAGGACTAGTGACAGTTTAATATCTAGGTTCCATCATTAAGTCTGACAAGGTCAAGAGATTAGGAGACAACTGCCATTAAGAAGATAGTTTGGGGGCTGGAGAGATGGCTCAGTGGTTAAGAACACTGGTTGTTCTTGCAGAAGACCCAGGTTCAAATCCCAGCACCCACATGGCAGCTAACAACTGTCTGAAATTCCAGTCCTAGGGGATCCAACAGCCTCTTCTGACCTCCGTGGGCATTGCACGACATGGGTGCACTTACCTACATGCAGGCAAAATACACATACACATAAAATAAAAATAAATAAAAATTTTAAAAAAAGAAGATAGTTTGCTGGATTCATGGTTCCTGAGAGGAAGGGGTACCACACCATGAAGGTTCACACTGGAAAGTGTGTATGTTAGGAGACAGAGGGAACAAATGGAACAAACATCAGCAAGAGCTTTTTATTGTGGTTTCTATGGGAAACAATAAATGAGATGGGGTCAAATAGACTAAGACTCACTAGTTTGGATAATTGCAGTAGGCTCTGGGGCATCGGAGCCATCCTTACTTGTCTGGGACCTGACCCTGGGGTGATAAGGGAAAACCAGATAGTGGTCCCAAGGAGGCAATTGGGGTATTAGCTAACTCTGGGAGATGTAGGCCCTCTAGGGTGAGCAAGACCCCAGGGTGGCAAAGCATTAGAAAATAAAAGGCATTAGCTGGGCGTGGTGGTGCATGTCTTTGATCTCAGCACTCCAGACGCAGAGGCAGGCGGATCTCTGTGAGTTCAAGGCCAGCCTGGTCTACATAGTAAGTTCCAGGACAGCTGGGGCTGTAGGGAGACCCCCTCTCAAAAAAGACCAAAAAAAAAAAAAAGGTGTAATTAATACAAGGGGTTGGGATGGGGAACTATTAAAAAGTTCTGATACATGAGCTCAAGAGACTATGACAGACAGCATCTGGGATGGAGCCTGGAATTGTCATTTGTTACCAGCACCACTAGTGATTCTTTTTTTTTTTCCCTTTTTTTTGGGGGGGGGTCTTTTTGAGACAGGGTCTCTCTGTAGCCCCAGCTGTCCTGGAGCTCACTATGTAGACCAGACTGGCCTTGAACTCACAGAGATCCTCCTGCCTCTGCCTCCTGGGTGCTGGGATTAAAGGCATGTGCCACCACACCTGGCGAACCACTGGTGATTCTTATGTGCAGGATTAGATTGCTAACATGTATGTCATTCTGACATTTGTACTATGTCTTGACTCCTTAACCAAGGAATGTGTCTTTTGCATAGCACTTCAAATAGCCACAGGTTGTAGATGCCCAAGAACTCTTTAATCCAATTAGCTTTTAAATGGAGTTGCTTTATCTTTCATTGCAGGCCTCCAATCCGTGAGACCTTCCACCCTCCTCCACCAGTTCCACCTAGAGGTCGCTGATTCCAACTCCTAAATCCTGCTTACTTCAGGACTTTTAAGACTTGCAGTTTGCAGCCTGTTAATGAAGTCTTCATGTTGAGTTTTCTGCATGACTACTGACCTTGAGACCCAATGTCATTGCTGATGTTGCAGCCCTGCTGGTTGGGGTGATTTTTAAAGACATTATTAAGGCATGAAGACGTCAGAAACCAAGGACTTTGTTCACCATTGCCAAGTATATTGGTCCACATTCTTGTTTACCAAAAGGATGTGAACTTTATCAGGATACTTACCTCTAATTTCCTACAGCAGAAATCTAATGAGATGGATCCGAATGTACGTTAACAAGTGATTATACAGCAGTACACTTTTGTTAGTCCTTAGATGTTTGCTAGTCTAGACTAATTTCTCGAAGTGATTATAACACATACAGTATTCAAATGAGAAGATAAGTGACCTAATTTTGAAATAATTCTTCCACATTTCTGTGTATTCTGTTTCAGTGCTGGGGCTTGTCACATACAACAAACTGAAAAGGATTTTAGGAAGGGATTAGGCCAAACACCTTTTACATACGAGACAAATCGGGTTTTTCCACAAGCATGGAACTCAGAGAATTCAGTTAGAAGCTAGGCTTGCTGATTCTGTGTCACTTTTTCTCTTGCATGTGTGTGTGTGTGTGTGTGTGTATGATGATTGTGTGTTTACATGCTTGTTTGTGCACATATGTGAGGCTGTGGTTGAGAGTCTTCCTCGACCACTCTCCACCTTATCCACTGAGGCAGGGTCTCTTGGTTGGACCCAGAACTCGCCACATAACTTAGAGAGTTCAGTGAGAGGCGAGGCTTGTTGAGTCTGTGTCACTCTTTCTCTTGCATGTGTGTGTGTGTGTGTGTGTGTGTGTGTGTATGATGATTGTGTGTTTACATGCTTGTTTGTGCACATATGTGAGGCTGTGGTTGAGAGTCTTCCTCGACCACTCTCCACCTTATCCACTGAGGCAGGGTCTCTTGGTTGGACCCAGAACTCGCCACTACTGCTTGCCTAGCTAGCCAGCTTGCTCCAGGGATCCCATCTCCACCTTCTGAGTGCTGAAATTATGGGCATATGCTCCCCTGGCATTTATTTGGGTGCTGGGGATCTCAATTCCCTTCCTCACACTTGCTTTATCCACTGGGCCATCTCTCTAGCCCATGTCACCACTTCCCATCTTCAAGAAGCCAATCCCTCTTTCCTTTAAGAAATATGCAAATGTAGAAATACAGCCATAGCTGACCATTAACCTTCCAGAAGTTTCCCTCTTCCATATTACCCAGGCATGAGACTACCAAGTCCTTTTTTCAGTTTGGGCCTTTATACCTTAGTATGCTGTCAAACCAGAGTGATATTGCCAGGGAACCACTGAAAGTGATCAGAAACATCAGCTTGGGATCCCAGGGGCTCCACTTATCATTTTATGGCCTTTATAGGTCTTAATTCTGACCACAGAGAAGGAGAAGGGTCCTTGACTTTTTTCTGTATTGAAGAGCCTGAAAAGGAAGATCTTTCTTCCTAAAATATTTTCTCACAACTTATTACAACTGCTCCTTATTACTACCACAGGCCTGGTAAATCTGCAGAGTACATAGCAATGAAACCATGCTATGAATTTTGAGTTCTGTTACATAACTCTACCTTCAAACCACAAATCCTTAATGATGCCTAAGCATAAAGCAAAATTATCCAAACTGTGTCTTTTAAAATATCAGAAGTATGGTTCTTATGAAATGATTGTCCAATTCCCACACAGGTATACATATATGTATATATGTAATTATTGATCTGTTTTTATTAGGTCCTTTTCTAATAATCAAGGTTCCTTCTCAATCTTATTCCTACTCCAGAAAACAAGGGCTATTACTGAAATTAGCTTCTAGTAGTAATCTTGAGTTTTTTTGTATAAAATGCTCCACTGACCGTGTCTACTATATGAAAGTATTTTCATGAATTATCTCATAGATGACCTAGAGCATGGTGGCCATTCTGCACCTGCCTTCAGTGGTGCCTCTACCCTCCTTGTCACTTATTTGGAAGAAATAAGAATAAGACATAAAAGAATAAGAAATCAGAACGTTGGTGTGGTTGTCCTGTGTGTTGTGTAGTTATGGCCTCCATCCTAAGCAGAGTTGATTTTGATAACAGAACTACTACTCTCTTATATTCAGTTTTCTTAAGCCCCATTTTAGATGCCAAATTTGGGTTTGTGTAATACTGTAAGTATTGACCAGTAACATGGTGAGACCAGTCATTGTATTAGCATCTTTGTGTACATAACACTGTGCAATATATGAATATTTTATTGCATTTTATTCTTATATTAAAATAAATAGAAAACATAAATTGAAAGTGCTCTTTGAGAAGCCTGAAGCCTGTTTCTTTTGAATGGGACACTTGAGAGTAGATGGAACGGATCAAGAGTCGAGAGTAGCCAGTGTTAAGCCCTGAGGAGGTATTCACTAAACAGCCAAGCTGGTTGGTTGTGTATAAAAAAAGAAAAGGGAAGAATCTGGGTGAAACTCTGGGACAGTGCTGTCAAAGAATGCTTCTAATGGTGAGAAGTTTTCCTTAGAAAGAGAACCAGCCATTATAAGCACATATTTATTCATCTTCCACATTTTCAGCATATTTAGGAATACATTATGTAAAAAAAGGATTTTCAATACAGTGAAGATCAGAAACTGAACTACAAACAGGTATTTAAAGAGATGGTCTCCAGATCTCTCCAGTGCATAGGGAGACTCCCTCTCCATAATTTTAACCAGTGAGCTCAACAGAAAGAAAAGCAACAGTCATGCTTACTGCTGTTACATTTGCTCCTAACTACATATACAGGTAAATTGGCCTCTATGTCCTAAACCAGTACTGTTCCTTCATCTTATGTTAAAATCCAGGAGCAGACAACTCAACTATATAACCAACAAAGTATCAAAACTAAGAGACTTAATATGAATAAGAGGTTGATATTATGATGTGACTGACTCCTCTGGCTTTGCTGTTGTCACCCAAATGACAGTATACAGATGATTCTAATGACTGTTTTTACAAGTCAAGCTGTTACCCTCCCCATCCTTTGTTATTAAAAACAAAAGAAAGATAAGCCTAGCTAGTCCCATATTACCTCAGTAGCAGGGGTTTTTAGATTCTCTTCCACATGCTCCAGGAATTCAGTGGGCTTTCTCTGTGCCTTCGTGGAAAGCAGTGTGGGTTTCTCCTGCTTGGTGGAGGAAGTACTAGGAATAAATTTATTTCCAAGAAGGACAAGTAATTAAAGGATTCATCTTAAACATCAACAAATTGGAGGACTCTGACCATACAAATATTTGCCTTGTTTGCATGTATGAATTGTGTTCTTTTGGTTTTCTATTAAGAATAGAAAATGGTTCTCATTCCTTCCTGCTGGCCAAATACTATGCTTCCCAGGGTGGTGAGAGGGTGAGAAGGAAACTGAAAGTTATATTCAGAGTTCTCAGGTACAACTTGGAATTCATTTTCTCACAGAAACAGGAAATGAATTCCTAGGCTAGTTTGCTCATTTAACCTGCTATATAGGAAGAAGTTTAATGTTTCTATACAGTAAGAGTTCACACAGCACTGGAAAGAGAACCACGAATATGGGATGTTTGACTTTTACTTTAGTAGGCTACCAACTAGAGGCGTTCAGGGAACATGACTACACAGGTGTGTGTTTCTATGTCTATGAAGCATTCATTGATGCTCCAGGTCCCTGCAAGTCTGAAAGTTCAAGTTTAAGACAAAGGTAGGGGGACACCACCACCCTTTACCTTCTGAAGAAACATGGGAGATAGCCTACTGTAGCCATCACACCTAAGTAGCAAGGATCTTTTGGGGAATGGGAGGCTGGGGATCAAACCCAAGGCCTCACTCTAAACAAGGGTTTTACAACTGAGCTACCTCTAGTCCAAGATCTTTTTATTATGTGATAGGTGCTGTTCCTTGACTTTTATCATTATTACAATAGGGTAGTTTAAAAAAGAAACCACAACAACCCAAATGCAGACAGAGTATGGTGGTGCATCCTTGTAATCCCAGCATTCTGTAGGGAGAGAAGGCTGGAAGATCATGAGTTTGGGGTACATCAAGACCCTATCTCAAACAAGCCCAAACCAAACCAAACCAAGCCAAACCAAACCAAACCACAATAAAAACAAAAAACAGCAACAGTGAAATAAAAACCACACAAAGAAATTAATGCTCTTCAGTCCCCAAACTAAATGTTTTTAATTGCATGTATTTATTTGTGAGTGTGCCTGTGGGGGGGGTGGGGTGGGCGGCGTGCATGCCGCAGTGCAGTTGCGGAGATCGGAAGACAACTTGTGGGAACGTTTCTCTCCTATCATGTGGGTCCTGGAGATAAAACTCAGGCCATCAGGCTTGGAGGTAGGCACTTCTACCCTCTGAGCCATCTTGCCAGTCCATAAAACTAAACATTTTGAGTGATGGTGTAGCTCAGTGGTAGAACAATTGCCTGGCACACCCAAGGACCTGGGTTCTGTGCCAACACCAAGAAAACACACACACACACACACACACACACACACACACACACAATTTATTAATTTGGTTTTCTGAGACAGAGTTTCATTATGTAGCCCTGGCTTCCTGGAACTTATTCTGCAACCCAGGCTGGCTTTAAAATTTGTTGCAATCCTCCTACTTCTACTCCTGAGTGCTGAGACTACAGATGCATGCCACTATACCTGGCTTGAAAAAAAAATTTCATTCAAAGAAAATGTAGTTGATGCTGGAAACCAGAAGCTGTCATTTGTCCCCTAAGACTTTAAAGATCATGTTTATCCACAATAAGAATAAAAGAATGAAACTGTGAAGAAAGAAAAAAAAAGAGAGAAAAGAATGAACTGTGGCTTTTCTTGCTAGTTTTACATATCACAAGTCATGAGTCTTATTAAAACTATCATGGAAAGTGACATGATATTATACCCTATGCACATTCTCCTAGATACTGCACACCCTCTGTAGATCACTCATAATGCTGAATACAATGTAAAATTTTATGTGAATATCTATTACACTGCATTATTTATGGAATGATGACAAGAAGAAAACCTGTATATGTTCCATACAGATGCATTCCTTTCAAATTAGTGGATGCAGAACTTTCAGAGACAGATGTTAACTGTATTTCCATTTCCCGCTTCCCTTTTGGTGTCAAGGACTTGAAGTTGTTAATCTAGAAGAAAATGCAAAATAAAACATATTGTTTTTCAGTCCCCAGTTTGTTGAAACAACTTTAATATATTTTTTTCTTTTCTTGGAGTGCTGGGGATGAAATTCAAGCATTTTGTGCATGTTAGGTAAGCGTTCTACTGCTGAGCTACTCCCTAGCCCAACAACTACTTTTGATGGTGTTCCTAACCCCTGGCTCAGTCTTGAGGTTATCAGGCTCCAAGGATCTTTGAAGCATCCTTCCTTTCCTCTAACCAGTTCTTTTACTTCCTAACCCTTTTCACACTTGTTATCACATTTTGATCCTCTAATGCCATTTCTCAGCATCACTCCTGTAGCACTGCTCTATCAGAGTTCTTGGCTCATTGTAAATGATCCATAATGTTACTGAACTGATGACAAGTCTTTCCCTCCTTGAAACATTCCTCAAAACTGCACTGAGAAAGCCTCTTTTTCTCCCATCCCTCTTACTTTCTGTAGAACACTTGCACATTTGATCAAATTTCATGCTTTTTAAAGTTTTTTTTTGTACGTTATGCCTGTTCTCGGTTGTAAGGTTTTCTAG